AGCTTTATTTATAATTGTATTAAAAGTAGGTACCTATATTATTTATGGGTATAATTAAACCAAAGTGGTCTTATAATGCTAATATAATATCAAAAATTAAGTTTCAGCAACATGAGGTATATAAAAAAAAATATTGATGGGGACAATTGAGCAAACACGAGATGAGACACTTGCTAGAAATATACGGAATTATTATTCAGTCTTACTGGACTGTGTTATAGCCTATAGGTATACTAGACAATTTAACTGTATATAAGAAAGGTGGAAATCCAAAACGTACTATTGCAAAAATTGACAAAATCGAGTTAGATATCGGTTCTTAAATCTTATGGAAAAAACATCGATACATAAAATGGCGTCGTCAGAATAGATCAAAACGTACTATTTCCTGGTCAAATCTGCTATTCAAAATGACTGGTTAATCCAAAACGAACCTTCTCCATACATAAAAATGATATTTAGAAAATCAAAACGTACTTTTTCCAGTTTTACGCCAAAACGTACTATTGCCCATGTTAAAATAATATAGGCACCAATCATTAATTATACCAAAACGTACTTTTAACTGTGTTGTTACTAACTAACATTTGAATCGTTTTAAGTATAAATAATATATTATAAAATAACTTTAAAAAAAAACATTTTTTTTTTTTTTCAAAATGGCTAATTGTCTGTTTATAAATGGTTTGTTTTTATTGGAAATGTTAAGATACAGAAAATCGCTTATCCTGAATAATCAATAATTTGGAAATAATACGTTTTGGATTTCCACCACTCATTTATTATATTATATAAAATATAGGTATAAGATACCATTTTTATTTTTGGATTATATATATCTTTGTTCTTGATCCAATAATTATTTATTAGTTTATTGGGTAAAAATTAAAATACGAAAATAAATTAACAATTAATGTCAGTATCACTTGTTTAATATATGCCCAATTATAACATTTATTTTTTTTAAATGAATTCAAGTTTTATTCTACTAAATACAAATGTAAATAAAATATGTAAAAAAAAATCATAAAAACGATTTGCTATTTCCGCTTTCCTGCGTACATAATAAATTAAATATAATAACATTTAAAATTTTTAAAACTATTGTCCCACTCATGTTCAGGCTTTTCTAATGTGAAACGCCTACTCATTATTATTTATTCACCGTCTCATATTATACCAATAATTTACTTATTGTACACACTGATTATAAATTTGAATTAAATAAACAAATTTTTTATTTAAAAAAAAAAAACAAAGCGGGTAAGTGGGTGTTAATCTGCTGTACAGTAGGTTACAAGTGGGCCATTGTAATGGATGGTACTAAATTTAAACTCGATGGACAATAATATAATACCATTGTATCTATACGAAAAACGATCCTGAACAGAGATGGTTTGTCAGCCTAGGATATTTTATATTATATTTATATTCTTATTATTAATTCAGTAGTGGGTAAATTGAATTAATATTATTTGTACATAATAATAAACTTTAGAAGTTTCAAGTATCCACTAGTTATGACATAAAACTAAAACCGATCTTACATGGAACCTATGGTTTTAAGTTTTTAACCCCTAGCTATAAGGATTGAACATTTTATAAATGTTGTCAAAATTAACTTAAAATGCTAATAAAAAAAATCTTGCCAATGTATTTTAAATATTTTTTTTAATTGATATTATAACAATGTGTAAGGAGCCATGTATTATATTTTCAACCTTTTTGACCAAAAGAATAAAATTTTCACTTCAAACGTTCATAAAAAAATATTGTTGATTACCTTCAATTTGTCATCGATTTCCACTACCTAACAACAAACTTCGAGGAACCTTCTATTTTATTTTAAAGTTTTTTGACAGCAACAAAAATTATTTATCAACATTAATTTAAAAAAAACTAACAATAATTTATAATTTCATATGCCTATATAAAATATAAACAGCTCAACATGAGTCAAAATATTTTGAAAATTCTATGGTGTATATAAAATGCTAATATAAACATTCAGTGAAAATGTCACGTATCTAAGGTATTTTTTAAAGCTACACTAAAACAACGGTCGACTTTGTCAAACACTGATTATGTATAAAATTTCCCGTTTTTCTTACTATTAGGAATTTTAAATTTTGACCTCCTGAATGCACCAACTAGTTTCACTTTCCCATCGAAAAAGATACTGGAGTTGAAAATCGATGCATTATTTCAACTACTTATCCTACTTATTGTGTACCTACATAGAAACAAAATAATAAAAATTAAATAAACACATCATTCTAAAATCAATACATTCTTCGCTCCGCTCAGAATCTAAAAACTATTATTACCTACAGGCTACATTTAAATAATTTACCAATAAAAAATAAAAATCTATAGTAGGTGCTTTATAGTACTTCACTAATAGCCACGTATATAATATAGGGTGATTCCACACGACCATGCTACATTCATTTTTATACGTAAATTAGGTATTTAAATTCTGATTTACGAAATTTTTTAAATATTGTTATAACGTATTTAAAGACTTACTAGTTACTATATATACGTAAGACCAATCTGCAGGTGACTATTTTAATAAGGTTTTATATGGATTTTATCTACACAAACACATACATTATGTTCAACTATATAATAAATTGCATAAAATATAAATAGCGGTACTTGAGGCGTTTTGGTACTGAGTTTTGGTACGTTTTGAGTCTGCGAATAATAAATTATATATTGAATATACATATTATACATATTACATATTATACATATTATATATTTATGTAGGAGCCACCCTCGGCTAGTAATCCTTAGAAAACATGTGACTCGTTCTTTCGGATCGGAAGTGATGAGACTCAAATATATACATACACAAGACTCTCGTATCGCCGGAATGCCGTCGTACAGCAAAACACTTTACCTATTTGAAAACAGCGTCGAAGTAACGGTTTAATCGAGATTCAGGTGGTGCGTGGTGGATGTGAATAAAATGGTTGGCGTCCACCGTTTTTCTTTAATACTGATCAATGGAAAACATATCGCAGGTAGCAGCTCTTGATTTACATAAACCATAATATGGACGGCGACCACCACGGCCGCGGTCCACATTATATCTGACATTATCTGTATGCGGTATATTATTCGAGAGCGTGTAACTACTGTAACCACAATATTTTCCATCGTTGGTCAGTCAGTCTAAGGAAAAAGAGGTCATCATCAGCCTTTAATCTCCACGTCCACGCGGCGTCTGTTTCTATTTTAGATTAAACCGTTTTGACGTCCAACGAGTAGATAATAATTATTGTATGTTAACAAAAAACAGAATTGTTTTTTAGCATCGTTTCCGGTACGACGAGACTTTTCACTTGTTACCCGTGGATTATGGGAAAATTTGCTTTTAATAATAATATACAAATAATAGTTATAAATGTAATTTTTCAAAATGTTGGCGAAACGGCACAATTCGTATTTTCAAATAATATTGTAAATTACTGACATTTTTCTGACGACCATCCTACAGGTTATCCGTAGACTTTAACGTTAAACAACACTTTAACAGATTGCAATTATTACAGTTCTCGACAACAATAATATATTATGTAGCACACTGGGACGAGAAATAAACTATCGCTGATCACTTAAGACGTATTTCACTTTAAACATTTATCTCAAAACAGTCAAAACTATCTGATTATAAACGATGATTGAGTGCAAATGTCAAACAGAAAACGAATATAATTAACCGTAGAAGAAAAAAAACCCACGCATAAAAATTCTTGACGATATTTCGGTGCTATCTATGACAGATATGTGCATATGGCGTTTACTATTGGCTATATGACTATATTATTATATTATATGCCCTAAATGTTAATTGTAAAAATATGCAATTGACGAGTATAGGTACTACTAGATACTATGCTCATGCAATATATTATGCTAATCGGCCATCATGGGAAATATTATACTTTATATGGGTACAAATACTATACCAAATAAGTGTCTATGAAAAAATGTCAACGGCAATAATGTATTACTACTCAATGTACAATCTAAAAATGTTTGATGAAGAAATTGCGTATATGTAGAGTTTTATAAGGAATGACAGATTGAACCTAGATTTAAAATATTACCTATAGGTACTGTAATTTAAAAAAAAATACCTACTTAAGTTATTTGATTTAGTCTACTTGAATGGTACATTGGTAGTATTGGTACCTAAACATAATATATTATTATATAGGTATTTAAATGTTTATGAAATAGCTAAAAAAAAATACTTTTTTTCTTTAATCATATTCTTATGACACCCTCAAGGATTAAATAAATAAATAAACATATAATAATATTAGGTTTTTTAATATAAATTTAATTGTTTTAAATATAGAATGCATTTATTTTATACTGGGCATTTTTGTTTCATACATAGTCTGTGGTTTCATCAAATTGTCGGGATATTTTTACGTAGATTCATATTTAATAATAATCACCGATGGTAAACCATTGAGACATTGAGTACTCTATGTGATTAACACAGTGTTCTATAGGTCTATGGCGAAATATAGATATTCCATTTCGTTCGATTGTAATGTCAATGTAAACCTTTTTTTTATGGTTAATAGGCATAAAGTAAATATTAATATAGTGTGTCCTGTGCAACGATAGTACCTATACACCTACACGTGTAAAAAAAACATTGTAGTTTTCCGGTGCGCAAGTACGCGTGGGGCGATGTGCATCGTACCATATGCAGTGAAATAATAATAATATGTATGTATAATGATAATATTATTAGGTATGTATTTTACACAAAAATGTTGCGTGTTGTAGATTTTACATAGACATGAAAAATGTAGTACGGTGGGACGTACGTTATTTCCGGAGAGGATATCCGGTGGCGGTCAGCGGGCCTTTGTCATCATCGTGTTGTCGTCGTCGCAGCGGACTATAGTCGTATTAGACGCAAGCCTTTGAACTCGTATCTGTGCAGCCAACCACGCTGAACCTGGACGATGGGCAACCTGCAGAGTTCGACGCCGTCGTCGCTTGGCGGTACGAAAAGCCAGAACAAAAGGCCACCGACCACCGGGACCCGCGATTGGCTGTTGGGGGGCGCGACGAGGGTGCTGCGGAAACCAGTTGCACCGGCGCCGCCGGCGGCGGCAACGACGGATCACGTGACCGTGACCAGTCGTGACCTCCGCCGGCAGCCGACTCCCCCGGCCCGCGACGACGATACCGATCATCATGCAGATGAGCAGCAACAACAACACCGGCAGGAGCACCACTGCAGCAACCGCCGCCGCCACCGCCACCGCAACGACCGCGACGACGAGTCCGCCCGCAGTTCCTCGGAAGAGGAGGACTCCTCAGTATTCGCCGACACGCTGACCAGCCCGCAGAGCGTGTACTCGGACGCCAGAGACGAACCGGACGACATCATGGTGGTGAACGGCGGCGAAACGTTCGGCGGCAGTACCGGGCGCACGGCCGCCGCCGCCCACCAGGCTTTTACGATCGTCAAGCACCGAAAAGTCGAACTGAGCCCTGCCAAATTACAATCGGCAATCGCCAATGGTAAGTCCTAGCTACTTACGATTTCCTATGACATAATATTATTATATTATATGCCAATCTCACCCACCCCTACAACTACTGATACCATCCACTATACTCTCGACATTGGTCCCTTTATCGGCCACTGTAGGCACGTCTTAGGTATATAGTCATATAATATTATATGGGTCCAGGCCTAAAAAGTGGAATAGGTTAGCAACAGTTTAAAATTTTAGAAAAGAATTTTTTTAACTAGTTACTTAATTTTATGATTTACTTACCAACTTGACTAGTTTAATTTACTATTGAAATAATTTGGATTTTTACAGTAGTTTTAAATATAATCCATCAAGTTATAACTTAAGATATTTTTGACATTTTTTATTTTAATAGTTTTATATATTAATTACTTATACGGATTTAAGTATAAAATAATTTAATACTAAAATGTCTGTTATGTTTTTTAATAAAATAATATTATATACCAGATATCTATATATAGGTACAGATATTTTTATGTTATCCAAAAAGTATATTAACTGAGTTAAATTTATTATTTGTTAACTATTAATTTTCTAACTTAACAATCTTGTGTTCACTTGACTTATCTTAAGTTGATTATTTTCATTAACTACTAAGTAGTTAGTTAGTCTTAGTAGTATAGACGTATAGTTACATTAAATGTAGCTAATGGTACATAACTACCAATTATAGGCAGTGATAAACATTTTTTTCGAATTAACAATATTGATAATAATTTTAATTAAAAGTCTTAAACCAGTATATAGTTACCTAACATGTTTTGTTTGAAAAAATGTATTTAATTCCCCATAATGATAAATAATTATACTAAAATGTCTGTAAATAAATAATTTCTAAAACAAGCCAGTGCTTTGATTTATTTTGTACACCTATAATTAATTTAATCATAAATGATTGTCATTGTTTAAATTAGAATTTAGAATAGATAAATAGTTTTTTCAAAGAGTTTTATTAATATTTCTTACTGATTGGTAATTTTTATAAACTTTAAATACTGTGGATATTGCATTTTGGAATATTTTTAATGGCCCAAAAGATGTTTTTAAAATGGGTAGGTACAAGCCCACAAAAAAAAATAAAATAATTTTACAATTTACAAATATACATAATAATATATCTAACATTATTCACTGTCTCCGTCACATGCCTTTTATAAATTAAGTATCGATAATAATTACCCTGTATAACTCACAAGTACAATCTCTGTTAAGATTTCATTGATAAATTGATACTTGTATCATTTTTATTTAGAAAAAAATCACTATTTAGTTTAAAACCACTTGTCCTCTGAAAGATTGAAATCATCAGAATTTAATTTGTGTAATTCGCAAGAATTGTATTCTTATTTGATATTTAACCACTAAAAAAAATTAATTAAATCATTAGGCTCAAGTTGTAATATTATAATTATTTTTATAAACTTCTAACTAAACAACAAAATAAATCATAAGGTGAGAAATTTAAAATGTTTGCACATTGATTGCATTATCAGTTTAAATGTATAAACTATAAAAAATGTTGCATTAGGTTATAAATTAAAATGAATATAATCATGTGAAAGATGGAAGTATTAAAAGGACTTCATAATATTCTTATGAACAATAATAAAATTACCTAAAATTGAAATTTCAATTTGTATAGGTACCTACCTATAACAAAAATTTAATATTACAAACCTTGCGCAACCAGTGAATTTAAATATTTGTCATTATTTCGACAATTATGCAATATGCGAGTGAAATCATAACTCGTAATCGTAAAGAATAATTCAATAGTACCTATAATATTAAAATTAAATAGCATTTAGATTCAAAACTATCTTTCAATATAGGTTCAACAAAACCATCTTGTTCTAATAATTGTAAATTGAAATTCAAAATCCAAATAAAATGGACAAACTCCTGGATGGAATTTTTATTCAAACCGTTTATTCAGTTATTTTACTATTGTGTCCAACGGCAGTAAACATTTCACATTAATTTACACCTGCACAAAACATCCATGCCTAAAGATCAAGATAGAATATAGATGATTATAATATTACCTAGGTATTCGTAATAATGAATTTATGGAGTCACACGTCTTTGGAATACGTCCAAAAATACGACTCCGGGGATGTTAAAATTGTTCGTTGATTCTTGTTTTTTTCCCATATACGTCTTTCGAGCAGACCACACAAGGGCACAATATTATAAACATGGTATCCATATTACAGCGCTATATTTTACTATATAATAACCATGCTAAGAAATATATATAAGTATCACTTTTATTAAAATCCACTGAAGTCTGGTCGTGTACAATTTACGGTCTACACAGAGTCAACAACAGTATTTATACAGTAATAACTATAGCTAATAACATGTATTTGCGAGGAGGAGGGTAAAACGATCTCGAGAAATTCTCCACATTAAAAAACAATTATGCGAGTCTGCATTGCTGTTGTGCTTATTATTTTTATAATCAAAGTGTGGGTACTAATGGTTTTACTTTTCATATAAAAAAATTAATATTTTTGTACTAAGAATTTTTATGAGAAATGCTATTATTTAAATATCCAAAATATTTTCTTGATATACATATATATTTACCAATCTTGCGATAGGGTTCAGTGGTTCATGTTTATAATAATCTGTACCCATTGCACAATTTTAATTTGTGAGCAAAAAATTGTTTTTTCATTTGTAATTCAGATAAAATGTCCAAAAATGTAATTTAACGACAATATATTAATGTGTATCAATTCACATTAATGCGACAATTTAACGAATACCTACCTAATTTACAATATGTTTGAAACAGTTATGTAAGTATATTTGAACAATCGACAAACATAATCGATATACTAACGAGTATTTGTTTGGATAAAATTATTTTATGTACCTATAGGGGTTATACAGGGATACGCAAACCTCCACGTTTAATTCATATAAATGTTATTTACTTATATTTATCATTTTTAATTTATTTATTTTAATTTTCGGTTGCCATAAAGATGTAAATTAGAAAACAAATCCTGAATACATTTTATATAAATAATTAATAAATTATAATAACATAAAATATTTGCCGCTTCTAACTTTAATTTTAGGCCATATGAAAGATGATATAATATTGATAAAACAAAATTATTATAATGGGCTATCAAGCAATTAATCTTAGTTGCTTACATTATTTAATATTAGCCGTAGATTCTATATATCTTAAAATTCTAACTTGAGAAACAAAAATAAAATTGAGTTTATTTTTACAAACATTTAAGTTCAAATTGCTATATATTATATTATTAATATAGTAGAAGGTACTAGACTATGTTAAGTGCATAATGGGCGTTTTGAGGGGAATATTCTTCTCACTTTCGACAATTTCGAGTTATTAATACGTACAATTTGTTATGAATTATTTTTTTTTACTATTCACTTATTCATACATGCTGTTGCCTGTTGAATAGGTATACAAACTATATATATCAATTGTACAGTTTCCTTTATTATTAACATTTAACTTTGAATAGGATATCAAATGAACTATTATTTGAGTTATACCTATATACGTTCATAATGCATATGTAAACGAATAAGTAGTTAGTTTGGTTTTCTATTATTTTCTGAAATATTGTTACATTTTCGTTTTTAAACTACCAAAATTTGAATTTTTTTTTTAAATTACCTTTTAAACTATTATTGGCATATATGATTTCTGATAAATTTCTTTATTTTATGCCTCATCAATACAGTTAATAATAAATAATTATGGTTTTCTTATCGGCTTGAAATCATTACCTGCTTCACGACGCCGGTATCTTTACAGCCATTTTTTGGAGGAAAACAGTTATAATATATTATTAAATTGCTCTAAAGCGGGAGAAATGATACAATTTATTTTTAACTAACAAGAATACAGTTTATAAATGTACATAAAATTATGTATAGTGTGGGAGAAATTGAGAGACAACAAGTTTGCATATTATCAACTGTCTAGATTCATGCGTGTCGCCTGAAGACATACAATGCAGTAGTATACTAGTATGAATAATCAACTTGCAGTAGGATGCAAGTAGGGTAGTCATTTAGGCCCATAGTCTAAGTAATACATTATAATAATACCTTGATTCTTATTATTCTTATAATATTATTAATGCAAATAACTAAATTGTTTTTTACCGATAAAATAAAAATAAAAATCTATCTAGTGTCGTAGTGATAATACCTAATATTATGTAATGTTTTTATATCTTTTGAATAAATAATATTTAATAATATAGCTTATAGCTTATAAGTAAGTTGTAAGTACTAAGTACTTCAGCAATATTTCACAATACAATGACACACTGAAACTTCACAGACATCACCTAAGCAGCTGACTACGTTTAAATAATGTATAGAAATATATACTGCTTAGTCTATTTTGGCTACCGACACAAAAATACTTGATTATTAATTAATAAATATTTTGATGATACAATAATTCGGAAGTAAGAAATTATTACACACCAACCTTCACGGTACCTATATATAACATATTGTACTATAAATACACTATCGTATATAAAGCAAGATTTTTTTCCACTATTACTATATACCTACATCAATTTTATTATTTCCGTATAATAACAATAAGTTTGAAAAAAATTTCACTATATCAAATATTATGGAGACAATTTATAAAATCATCTGATAACAATCAACGCAAATCCGTTATAACTTATTAGTAGGTTCCAAATGATAAGTAACTGCACTCCAAATTATTAATTAACCCTTAAAAAGTTCTAAATCCCCTCATATAGGCTACTTGGAAAATAACAAGTTTTCATATTATAATTTATGTAATCAGTTTCAGATACGAGGGGGAAGGAGTTATTATGTAGATCACTATCTCCACTTGGGAAGTGTTTTTTTTTTTACGTAATTTTAATGTTTTGCAATATACATAATTGTTTATATTATGGTAACAATATTATAGCAATATTATTATAAACTACATATTATCT